CTTTTAACATAAAGCGTCCTTTTTTTAGTTGAACATATAACCATTCTAGATGCCCTCCCAGCTGCAAGAACGCCTGTGAACATCAGTTTGCAAGGCTGTATGGTTAGGGGTTGTTTGCTTTGTTTTTTTATGATGAACGCTAGACTTCAGACTCAGACTAGAGTCTTTTAGATCCTTCAACGGGTTCTTCAAGGATTTTCCTGTAAATCAGTGACCAGACTAACCCTTCATTCACACAAACTCCCTCATCTGTTAAAGCTCTGTTGTGTCCCCAATAGAAGCTGCTCTAAACCATTTCCAGCCACTGTTAAAAACTTAGTGACTTCTCCCTCTTTAATTAGAGACTTTTTCTACCCTGCTATCGACAAAAAAAAAAAACAAAAAACATCAAATCAAGTAAAAATTGACTGAGTTTCATGGCACTCAGGGTTTCTGCAAACCCCTCCAAACATCTGACAGTCAGAGAGACTCTCCTCTGTTTCCCATTTAAAATGAGTTACACAAAGCTTCCACTGATCCCGCCTCCAACATTGGAAATGTATAAAACATGCATAAAAACATGCTTTTTTTCTTCTGTTGCACTAAAATAGAACCGCTCTACATTCAATTCAAACATAGCTTCATCCACTGTGTGGCTTTGCTAACTATGTTTACATTTAATTTGATAACATAGGATTGATTTAAGTAGCTTTGATTCAGACAAAGGACTTAAAATTATGGTTATATTATGGTTATTTTTAGTCTTAATCATAGTGTTTATAATCACTTTCTGTCTTGTAGGAGTTAAGTTTCCTTACCCCTGTGGCTGGATTAAAGTATTACCAAATATGCAAATTAGTTGATGATGTCACCTAGTAAAATCTAGCAATTATGAGTCCATTAGAGTTGGTAAAAGTGTTCCCAGTGGCTCTGTGGCGCCGCGGCATGAAAGGCAGTCCCCCCACCTTCATTCCTGAGAAATATGGATTGAGTCCATTTTTAGTGGCTAATGGAGCAAAACATATCAGTAGCTGAGTTCAAAATCATGAGATGCGTCTTGCGAAGGCCAGATTTGTAGAGCGCTTACGTCATATGTGAATTGTTCCATCTGAAAAGAACGAAAATACTCGTTTTAAACGGTTATTGAGTCAGAAATGTGGCGGGTAATGTTTGGTTTATTGAAAGGTTTTTATCTGTCCCTGTGTAAATGGGTTTGGCTGATATTTAAGCACGGATTCTAATATAGCTGCAGTGCTGGGGACTATTAATCTGATACGATGCAGCTGTTGAAGCTTTCAAAAATGTTATTAACACCCAGAAAAGCAGTGAGAAGTTCGGTATTCATTC